GCTCATATATAGTCAAATAAAGCTGCAGCTATGTTTAAAGCACTTTTCCTTCGCCACTTTTACCTTGCGCGGTGTTTCGGAGATGTTTTTTAATGGTTCAGTAGTACTAGATGATTGTCTTGTTCTAGAACAAAGACGTCTGAAGGTCCTGAGTGGGTGCAGCGCCTCAAGGTACACTTTACGTTGATCTATGCTATTTTGCTCGAGAACAATAGGTAACGAACAAGACATCTTAACAGGCGATGGCAGTAGAGCAGACATCATCTAATGTAATATATTCTTACTCATGCATGTTGCTCTACTTCTTCAGGTTTTTTTTGTTTGCGAATTTCTTCCTTGTATGATGCTTTTTTCCGCTGATATGTCCAAGTTTTCAAGCACCATAAATATATCTACAAAATTCCGCGAGCGAACTAGTAATTTCGGTAAAATAGCTTACATATCTATTGGGTATGCGTGCTTTTGTCTATCTTCTTTCTTTTCGTATTTTTCTCGTTTCGTTTGCACGTGTTTGACCCACACACATGCTTTCAACAGAATTTATGTCAATCCCGCTTTCAGAGCTGAAAATATTTTGCTTTGGTTGGTATTTGCTACATGTGTTGCTGATTCACTCTTCTCTCGGTGTATTCCTTGCTTCTAAGCTAGACTTTGTCCCAACCACGGGACTACCGTCCTTCGATAACAAAACATTAGAAGTTCTCCATGCAAACGAATTGCATGAAAAGGTGGTCGGACGAGCAGCGGAACGTAGGCGGGAGTGTGGGATTTCTTGCTAGGTACAGATCTTTAGCTGATTTAGTTAGAACTTATGATTACGTAAAAGCTTTGGTTAGCGTTGATGTATGGTCAAACTGTAACTCTCAGATTATACAAGCTACGCAAATGGCTTAATGTTTGAGGGGTGCTTAAGTCGTTTGAAGAGACGTTAACGGACAATAATACGCTAGATGAGAAGCTGCGCGAGAAGGTGAGCTTTTACTGATTTGCAAAGTAGGCAGGTGAGAGTCGCCCAAAATTGTATAATAGTACCGTATAGTTTTATAAAACACGGAAAGAAGAGGCAGTAAAGTCGCATACGAATGAGATGCGAAAAGCTTTGAAAGATATGCGAGCATCATGCCGTATTATAAGTAGGTTTTCAAGGGATTTTTCTAAGTAATTATAGGCTTTATATAGAAATCCCATTCAGTACGAGCCAAGTGAAATTTTTTCCTGGTATAGCGCTTATTGGTATTGGAATGAGGATCGGTCTCGGCAAGCTTGTATGCGATGGAATAACGGGGTTGATTCACAGGTTCAGCGAGGAGGAACAGCGACATAAGGTGAGCAGCGTTTTGTCGCTTTTTTTTACAGCATAACAATGGATAAACATCTGCTTCAGCGAGAGATGAACGAGCTGATTGAAATGAATAAGAAGGTGCAGGACTTGGAAAAATCCTCGAGTTCCAAACTTCCGCGTGAGTGAATTTTGGAGAAAGTTTCTTCCAATCTCGCTTACTAACTGTATCGTTTATGCTTTAGGATCCGCTATAGCTTCGTGTTCTCACAAGTGAGAACGCAGATACTTATGGCCGTAGAAGAGGCTATGATTGAGCTGTTCAGTCGCGGTCGAGTTAGTAGTCGTCTGATCAGTCAAAGCGGTTAAAACAACCTTCTCTCGGCATAGCGGATCTGATGAGCCCAGAGCGTTTTGAGGAGTCGCTGCTGAAACGCAAGTACGAAGCTGCCGGAGTAGCACTGCAAGCTACGGTGCTCTCAAAACGAACACGTTATGGAAGTGAAGGCAAGCGTTAACTGTATGTTGCAGAAACTTGTACTCAATTTAGGTTTGTTACCCAACCACCAAGGAAGATGATGTAGAATACCTGATGTGCATCGTACCACTCGGCGAATTCATGATGACCTTAAAACCTTTCCACATCACAAGCTCAGCACTCACTACATAGCGCCGCAGTCAATGCACCTTGCTAATCTAAGCACTTTGCAAGAGGTGGCCGATTTTGGTAGCAGTTGTGTCACGATCGCATCGACTCTTCTCTGTAAAACACGGCCACAACCGTTCAAATGCGGTCTGGCTAGCAGAAGACGTCGCGGATGCGCGGTGGGGAAACACAATTCCACCAATGACGTAGGTGTTTATTTGACTGACAAAATTTCTAGCATCATAGTGTTGATGTTTTCAGTTTACGCTTGTGGAGTCGCTACTAAGGACAATAGTAGTTGCTACCCGAATGAAGCGTATTCTGTATAAATCGGCAGAGCGCGACACATTTGAGTCAATTCGGCTGGAGAAGCCAGGTTTCGTCTGTGAAATACCGAACGGAGCAATGATTCAAATACGCGTGGAAACGATAACATCACGTATCACATCGAGCAATTTTTTGGTAGACCTAAAAATTGTATTACCGATAAGCATAGGCAGATTATTCTACTGACAAATCCATTAGTTAATCTTGTCTTGCAGGCAGTGAAGAAACGGCCGAACCCAAAGGACGATAGTCGAGACGATAACATGGATGAGCTTTCTGGAAGAGGTGGATGGTGGTTGAACGGCGAGCGGCTGGTCGTCCTGTTGATGTCGGTCATAATTGGATTAGTTACGTTTGCCGTCTACCACCTATATCGCGAGTTGCGAAAACTAAGGCGATGGAGAAGAAGCGTAGACTTGTTTAGAGAATCGTTTAAAGAGCCGAAAGTGGGCTTCATTGTTGGGAATCAAGAATTTGCTAGAGATTTCGTTGATCGAAACACATAAATATCGAATAAATTGCAATGAAAGATTTTTGTGTATTTGTGGGAAAGAGTTCAAAACTCTTCTATACCTCTACTAAGCGATTTGGACTTTATGCTATCGTCATTGTATTGTTGTTTTTTTTTTCTGCAAATTTCTGCCTTACAGGCTTAAGTCTTTGATTTATTACCAATCAAGTAGCAAAATGGCTGAACCTATCCTCAGATCAAAGAAGTACACGAAGGTGGTAGAAATTGGCAATGCTGCCAAAGAGAATTTCGAGAGATTGAAGAATGAACAAATTATCAGAATATTGCCCACTGAGATGAAGGAAGGTGAGGGATAATGGCAACATAATTTGGGCTAGTAAATCATTG